TGATCATTCATAACATGTATTTTACATTAATCATAATGCTTTTAATTTAATTAATTTAAAAATATATATATATTTTAATTTTTAAACATTTAGATTAGTTATAGATAGTCTTACATTATATTCTCTTTTGTTGACCTTTGAGGACTTGCCTTGCATACACAGTCCCATAAAATTAAAATCTAATAAATAATGCATAGTACTTAAGTTTCAAGATTCATTCAAGGCTTTATCAGCGTATGTTCTTAGAGTATTCTTGCCTCCGCAGAATTAGTTCTCGCTCGCATGTACCAAACTAACAAAAGCAAAAGGACCTTGATGTGAAAAAAAAAATTCATGTTAAAGCCCGTCAGCCCACGCTCAACGCATTATAATACAGAGAAAAAAAACAATTCATATATAAACAAACTATTACATGACTGGACTTATGGACATTAGGCAAAAGGCAGATCCACTAATCTCAAATAAACAAGACAGAGAGAAAAAAAATAATAATTGTAGTTTTAGTTTGAAAAAGAGAAAAATATATATTAATATTTTTAAAACCAACTTAAAGGACACTATAGTCACCAGAACCACTGCAGCTTAATGTTCTGGTTCAGGTGTCTATAGCATGTCTATGCAGGCTCAGCAATGTAAACACTGTCTGTTACGGTAACCCAGGGATTAAAGGGGTTAAAACCGTATAAGATGCTCCTTTCCCGAATACGAAGGCAACTACCGATCATTCCAATCAGCCGAACAGGAACCATACGTATCGTATACCCTCCAAACATCCGAACTAGAATCACCATACGAATAAATCCCCCCAAGTATGAGACAAAGCTACGTATTGAGGGTCAGCAGGAATCTGGTTTATTATGGGCTACCTGCCCGGTATTTATGCAGGTTTTCCACCAGATGGACACTCCCCTAGGGAACCTTGAGGAAAACTGGGACACATATCGTACATTAGACAATCACAGAGTTAAAGACATAACCACTCCTCTTTTACTGTATAGGACCCTCCTCTCTGTCCTGGAGATAATTGGGAAGTAACTCAATTATCTCCGAGGACAGAGGCCAAACTCCATGTTATACAGAATAGTGGAAATACATAAAAATACATAATACAAGAACTACCAAACACAATAGATATATTCCACACATTCCCAGACAGCTTGGATCCCTCATTGTCATTTATGGCCCCCACCCACCGCTTAGGAGAAAACTAGAGCAGACAGGAAGAAATGAAGAACAAATCCTTAGAGAGGGAGAGAAGAGGAATCGATTGGGAAAAGGTAAGTTCGGCATGACAGTGCCGCTTTAAGAGTCTGTATTGTATTTAGATTCAATTTATGCTATTTTGCATATTCACATTTCACCAACACAAAGTGTGCTGCTCACTTTTTATATTTACATAGGTTGTGTTTATTTTTGTTATGTGAAATTCATTGATTGATTTCACAGGTGTTACTAGAATAATTTTGTTTTGTAGTTTTTTGGGTTTTTTTTGGAGGGAGGCGATTTCACAAAATGTGTATTATTTTAGTTTTATATTTGTCCTTGTAACTTTCCAAAAAAACACCATAAAACCTGGACATGGGGGTACTGTTGTACTCATGAGTCATAATTAGACACAAATGTGAGTGTTTTAGAGCAATAAAACATATAATGCAGATGATATCATTGGTGAAAGGGCAGTTTATTTATGAAAAATACAAAAAACAAATATAAACGCTAACTATGGCCAGTGTTTGTGACTAAGTGGCTACTAAAAAAGAAAGGAACAGAAATTTACCAAATAAATTATGGTTGTACAGACATTCCAGGTTTTGTTGTGATTTTGTTTTGATAAGAACTTGTACAATTGCCTCCATCCTTAAGGGATTAAACTATGCGGATAAATATTTTATGTCCCATTGCAAAGCAATGTCTGATCTGTAAGGTACAAAAATAGCATGTAATAAAAAATATGTATTTGTTTAATTGTATTCCCATAAGTGCTGACATTCCACTGCTGTTGCATTCAAATTTAATAAGTATAACGAAAGGTTTGGATGTTTGTAAATCTCTAAAGGTTTCTGTCTATTGCCTTGCCATCATTTTTATCTTGCATATTGTTATTGGAGCCATTGGGCTTATTTACCATTTACTAAAGTAGGGTTTCTGTAGGATCAGGGACTATCATAAGGCATTCATATGTACCCTTATTAAGCCCCTTCACTTTTGCCCCACTCCTTACCATACGGTTTCATCTATGCATCATTTCATCCTTATGTATTATATATCAAAGTATTAGCCCTTTCTCACATCATCCCGTTTGCTTCACGGACTCCCTATCTCTTTTACCTCGTTTACACAGCTAATAGGAAAAGTCCCTTTATCTCCATGTGCACATACAGGGAGTGCAGAATTATTAGGCAAATTAGTATTTTGACCACATCATCCTCTTTATGCATGTTGTCTTACTCCAAGCTGTATAGGCTCGAAAGCCTACTACCAATTAAGCATATTAGGTGATGTGCATCTCTGTAATGAGAAGGGGTGTGGTCTAATGACATCAACACCCTATATCAGGTGTGCATAATTATTAGGCAACTTCCTTTCCTTTGGCAAAATGGGTCAAAAGAAGGACTTGACAGGCTCAGAAAAGTCAAAAATAGTGAGATATCTTGCAGAGGGATGCAGCACTCTTAAAATTGCAAAGCTTCTGAAGCGTGATCATCGAACAATCAAGCGTTTCATTCAAAATAGTCAACAGGGTCACAAGAAGCGTGTGGAAAAACCAAGGCGCAAAATAACTGCCCATGAACTGAGAAAAGTCAAGCGTGCAGCTGCCACGATGCCACTTGCCACCAGTTTGGCCATATTTCAGAGCTGCAACATCACTGGAGTGCCCAAAAGCACAAGGTGTGCAATACTCAGAGACATGGCCAAGGTAAGAAAGGCTGAAAGACGACCACCACTGAACAAGACACACAAGCTGAAACGTCAAGACTGGGCCAAGAAATATCTCAAGGTTTTATGGACTGATGAAATGAGAGTGAGTCTTGATGGGCCAGATGGATGGGCCCGTGGCTGGATTGGTAAAGGGCAGAGAGCTCCAGTCCGACTCAGACGCCAGCAAGGTGGAGGTGGAGTACTGGTTTGGCTGGTATCATCAAAGATGAGCTTGTGGGGCCTTTTCGGGTTGAGGATGGAGTCAAGCTCAACTCCCAGTCCTACTGCCAGTTCCTGGAAGACACCTTCTTCAAGCAGTGGTACAGGAAGAAGTCTGCATCCTTCAAGAAAAACATGATTTTCATGCAGGACAATGCTCCATCACACGCGTCCAAGTACTCCACAGCGTGGCTGGCAAGAAAGGGTATAAAAGAAGAAAATCTAATGACATGGCCTCCTTGTTCACCTGATCTGAACCCCATTGAGAACCTGTGGTCCATCATCAAATGTGAGATTTACAAGGAGGGAAAACAGTACACCTCTCTGAACAGTGTCTGGGAGGCTGTGGTTGTGTCAGGGTACCTGTTGGTGATGTATCCAGGGAGGACATCCTCTCTGCTTAGGGGCTCCCTTCCCCTAGCATTTCGGCATATTCCGTCCGTTTTCGCGCCGGCCGCGCTAGCTCCTCCCCCTTTTATGACGCGACGGCTAGCGTCGACGTCATGACGTCGGCATTTGCATAAAGTGCCGGGAACCGCTATTCCGGACCTTTTGGGGGCGTGGTCTCTATTTAGGTAACAGGGTATTTAAAGGAAACCTTTACTACTGCTCATTGCCCTGTCGTGGTTCTAGCTTGCTAGTCACTCAGCGCGTTCTTTATCTAGTGTTTCCGGTTTTGACCCTTGCTTGTCTTTTGTCCTGTTGTCCTCTCCTCTCCTTTGACTCGGCTTGTATCTCGCTTACCTGTCCTCCGGCTCCCTTGACCTCGGCTTACCTTTTGACTATTCTTGCTTTGTCCTTACGTTAGTCCGGCCATTCTAAGGTCCGGTATACGTACCTCCTTCTGTGCGCACTCTGCGTATTGGATCCCTGTCAGTTTCCTGACATTACGACAGGGCCATGATGGATCCTGCAGGTGCTAGTCCTCCTGACCCCAGATTTGAGGCCATGGACCATAGAATGGACCAAATGGCTTTAGCGTTACAAACTTTGTTGACACGCTCCAGTACCCAGTCTGAAGAAATACGTTCCACTGCTAGCCACTCGCTAAGTACTGGTTTGGAAGTAGCCACTGTAGGCGCATCTTCCCATGTCACGTCACCATTACGATATGGGGGTTCGCCTGATGCTTGTCGTGGTTTTTTAAACCAGATAAGTATACATTTCGAACTACAACCCCGGGCTTACCCCACTGACAGGGCTAAGGTAGGCTTTATTATAACCCTGCTAATAGATAAAGCACTTAGATGGGCCAATCCCCTTTGGGAGAATGACAATCCTTTAGTCTACAACTACACTGCGTTTGTCACGGCTTTTAGAAGAACCTTTGACCCCCCAGGGAGGAAGATTAATGCGGCCAGATCCCTGTTACGCCTTAAACAACAAGATAGGACCCTGGTAGAATATGCTCTAGAGTTTAGATCATTGGCAGCAGAAGTGAAATGGAACGAACAAGCTTTTATGGATGTTTTCTTGAATGGGTTGTCTGATGAAATTCTAGATGAAATTGCCACTAGAGAACTTCCGGAAAATTTAGAGGATTTAGTATCCTTCATTTCCAGAATAGATGAACGCATGAGACAGAGGCAGAACACTCGGGAAAGAGTTACTAGACTTCCTGTAAGACTCGCTCCCTCATTTCAGAACCCTGACTCCTATAATCCTACTCCACCAGAACCTATGCAAATAGGTAATACTCGCTTATCTGAGGCTGAGAGACAGTACAGAAGAAGGGAGGGTCTCTGTTTATACTGCGGGCTGAGAGGTCACCTACGTCTCAGTTGCCCTAATCGTCCGGGAAACGCTCGCACCTAAGTTCCCTTAGAGGACGGGCCTTGGGTGTTTCATTACTGTCCTCTATGCATAATACAAAAGACCATAGGCTTCTGATTCCTGTCTCTCTAGCTTGGGAAAAGGGGTTTATTACTACGATGGCATTATTAGATTCTGGAGCAGCAGAAAGCTTTATAGACCAAACTTTCGCTAATATGCATTGTATCCCATTCCAATTGAGAGATACACCCTTGGCCGTTGAGGCCATAGATGGTAGACCTTTATCTGAACCAGTAATATTCCATGAGACCGAACCCGTTAAGCTTACTGTTGGTATTTTCCAAGAAGAGTTGATTTCCCTTCTGTTAATTTCCTCCCCGGCAGTCCCAGTGGTTCTAGGATATTCTTGGCTCAAGAGACACAACCCTCAGATTGACTGGGAGGGTGGGGAAATCGTTTCTTGGGGTATGGGTTGTAGGAAAGAATGTCTGCAGAGAGTTACTTCTGTTTGCCCCGTAAACTCTTATGCTAACACTTCTCAATCCACAGACGTTCAGATACCATTACAATATCTAGACCTCAAATCTGTATTTTACAAGGGTAAGGCGGATACTTTACCTCCCCACCGGTCTTATGACTGTTCTATTAAACTTTTCCCTGGTACTATGCCTCCCAGGGGTACGGTATACCCTCTATCCACCAAGGAAAACTTCGTTTTAGAGGAATATATCAAGGAGAATTTAGACAAGGGATTTATTAGAAAGTCTTCTTCTCCGGCGGGGGCGGGTTTCTTTTTTGTAGAAAAGAAAGACGGTACCTTACGTCCTTGTATAGACTATCGGGGATTGAACAAAATTACTATCAGAAATGCTTACCCTATTCCTTTAATTACTGAACTTTTTGACAGACTAAGGGGCTCGAGTATTTTTACCAAACTTGACTTAAGAGGAGCATATAACTTAGTGCGAATTAAACAAGGAGATGAATGGATGACAGCATTTAATACCCGCTACGGGCATTATGAGTATACCGTAATGCCGTTTGGGCTTTGTAACGCCCCGGCCGTCTTCCAAGACTTGATCAATGAAGTTCTTAGAGAATTCCAACATGAATGTGTAATTGTATATTTGGATGATATACTAATCCATTCTAGAGACATTAATTCACATCATAGACAAGTCAGAAAGGTATTACAGAAACTTTTACAACATGGATTGTATTGCAAATTGGAAAAATGTAGCTTTGACCAGTCTCAGGTAACTTTCTTAGGTTACGTAATTTCCAAAGACGGGTTTATGATGGACCTGACCAAACTAAAATCGATTTTAGATTGGCCTTTACCTAAGGGACTCAAAGCCATACAAAGATTTCTTGGATTTTCTAATTATTACAGACGTTTTATTAAAGGGTACTCCTCTGTTATCGCTCCTATCACTAATATGACCAAACAAGGAGCCGATACCAAAGCCTGGTCTACTGAGGCTTTATCTGCTTTCGAAACGCTCAAACAGTCTTTTGCCTCAGCACCTGTATTAGTTCATCCTGATACCTCTCTACCCTTTTTACTTGAAGTTGATGCGTCTGAAACAGGGATAGGCGCAGTGTTATCCCAAAGACAAAGTTTAGATAAGCTGCTGCACCCTTGCGGTTTTTTTTCCAAGAAACTGTCACACACTGAAAGGAGATATGACATTGGTGATAGAGAACTTTTAGCTATCATTATGGCATTAAAGGAATGGAGACATTTGTTAGAGGGCACCGCCCTCCCAGTTACTATCTTGACTGACCACAAAAACTTATCGTATATGGGGGAGGCCAAAAGATTATCTGCCAGGCAGGCACGTTGGTCTATGTTCCTTACACACTTTAATTATGTGCTTACTTACAGGCCTGGTTCTAAGAACACTAAGGCAGACGCTTTGTCACGTCAGCACGAACCTACCACCTCTACAGAGGATACTTTTTTCCCTATTATTCCTGAAGTCAATATTATCGCCAACACCAATGTCAAAATACACTCTCCACTGCTCGCTGATATTCAGAACGAACAATCTCTTGCTCCCGAACGTACTCCTGTGGGCCGCTTGTTCGTGTCTCCCAAATTCCAAGTGGACATTATTCGCTGTTTCCACGATAGCAAGATCGCTGGTCACCCTGGCATCCACAAAACGTACTGCCTGATCTCAAAAGACTTCTGGTGGCCCGGTTTACGTAGGGATGTGGAAGACTTTGTCAAGGCTTGCAATGTTTGTGTCAGGAATAAACTTCCGCGGGATCTCCCTTGTGGTTTATTGCAGCCCTTAGTCGCTCCCAACAAACCTTGGGCTTGTTTGGCTATGGATTTTATTGTTGATCTACCAGCTTCCAATAGGCATACAGTTATCCTCACGGTCCTTGACAGGTTTACTAAAATGGCTCATTTCGTTCCCTTGCCTAAACTTCCGTCCTCCCCCGAACTGGCCGTGATATTTGCTAGAGAAATTTTCCGCTTACATGGTATTCCCAATGAGATTGTGTCAGACAGGGGTTCCCAATTTATTTCCCGTTTTTGGAGATCCTTCTGTTCACAGTTGGGCATCAAACTGAATTTTTCTTCGGCCTATCATCCTCAATCTAACGGAGCAGCCAAACGCACTAACCAAAAAATTGAGCAATATCTACGTTGTTTTGTTTCTGAACACCAGGATGACTGGGTCGGTCTGATTCCTTGGGCGGAGTTTGCTCACAACAACCTTGTTTGTGGTTCCACTCATAATAGCCCCCTTTTCTTGAACTATGGCTTTAACCCTACTGTTCTTCCGTCGGTGTCTCCTTCCCAGGGTATACCGTCGGTTGATATTCATATAGCCAACCTGAGAAAGTTGTGGGATCAGACTCGACAAATTCTTGAACGTAGTTCCGCGGTGTTTAAGTCACATGCTGATAGGCGTAGACGTCCTGCTCCTATTTTTTCTCCGGGGGATAGGGTCTGGCTGTGTACCAGACACATTCGCCTGAAAGTTCCTTCCTTGAAGTT